CCAAAGGTTTGGGTGGGCTGTGCATTGGCGGCCCGCTCGCTGTCCTGGCAGTTTGGTCAGTGGTCCTCTTCCTCCCTCCTCTCCATCCCCTTCTTATTTTGTGCATATGCTGCCGCGTGAAAGCGTCGGCCGCGCTGTCGCCACGGTTGTCTGACCACCTGGAAAAAAAGGGTTGACAAGGGTTTGCCAGAGGGTATGGTTGGAGGGCTGGCCAGGGTAACGGTTCGATTGGTAATAACCATACGTCCGACGTCTTGATTTGTTCTGTACGGGGTCCCCAGAAGTCCTCACCCTTTCCTCAAGGCTTGCTGGCTTTTCACACCCTGAGTCGTTTTTGCTGACGGCCCATGCACCGTGAGGGCCCCTGGTGGACGAAATTTGGGGAAGACCGTCTGTCATGATTCCTGTGCACGCGTTGGATTTCTGGGTGGTACGATCGAGCACTTTTGGATAGCATGTCGCTCCGCCTGCCCTGGCCCACCACACTTCTGCGCGACGCGGTGGCCACTTCCCGGTCCTAAGTCTCCAGCGTCCCGAGCCTTTCCGAACCTCCCGCCCCGCTGAGCGGAGCGATACGCTTCCGCTTGCAGGGCATTTCGTGTCGCCGGGGCCGCTGCGGCGACAATATACAGAAGCTCCCAATCGGAATCTTCCTCCACAGACCCCGACGCCATGACTTTTTCAGAACGTCGACCCTCAGAGATCTCCATCCATTCCCTGGGACGGGTTTTTCACCCTGAGTCGTCCTTTGACGGTCCCGAGGCTTGGTCAGGGCCCCCAGAAGTTGAAAATAGCGAAAACCTCCCGTCGAGATTTTTTCATGGCCGCAGAGGGGTCTGGACCCCTCCAGCTTCTGCCAGCCAGCATGGGGGACGCCGCGCAGCCGTCTGGGCTCCCCCCAGGCGGCGCGCGCGCGCGCCTGCGCGGCAGGGCGGGATTCGGCAGCAAATCATGGGAGCCTGGTGTGCCCTCTTCACTCCGTCTTCAGCGTCGATGCGCGTCGACTGGCGTCTGGGAGTCGATGAGGCAGCGCCGATTCGGCGTCGGTCAGCGTCGATTTGGCGTCGACTGAGATCGATCGGCGTCGACTGGCGTCGATGTAGCGTCGACTCGCAAGAGCCAACAGGATGGCACAGCTGGGGCCCGTGCCAAGGCCCCCTTCCCACTGGCCTCCAGGGTGCCCCGGGTTCCTTGGGGCTCGACGGCGCTGCCATGGAAGGCGTGACGCTCTCCCGCGCCAGAACTCCATGGACGTCCCGGGGGTCTCAGGGCTGGGTTTCTCGTGGGCAACTTCCTGTGGGCTGGCCTCCGCTGCACGGTAGAGGGACACAGTTTGTGAACACCCCCCCTGCCCCCCAGACTCAAAGTGGGCACTCGCGGGGGAGACTGCGGTCGAGGTGACGCAACTCATCAGACCCGCCGCCAACTCTGAAATCTTTGGGGGGAGGGGGGGAGGCGTTCACAGATGACTGTGGCACGAGTGCTCGCCATTTTTTTCCGAGGCCTGTACAGTCTGGGCCCTGAAGAAGGAACCCTTTTCGTTGGGGAGGGGCTCCGCGTTCCTTACGTGTTTCGCAGCTTGCCTCAGGTTTTCCTTATGTTTTCGATCGGAAATCGAAGTTTAACTCATGGAAAAAAGGGGCCTCGCTCCTTATTTGGGGTTCCTTAGGTCAAGCCCCCGACTGTGTGGGAGGCTCCCCATGAGTTGCCGCCGAGGGGCGGGGGCGGCCGGGCCGCGGCAGCACGAGAGCCGCTCGGCCTGCGGGCCCCTCCGGCGCCGCCCACGAGGCTGCGCGGGCCCGCCCTCGGGAGGGGGGGGTCGGAGGTCGGGGCCGACGCGGAGTCTGAGGTGGCCCGGTATGTCGAAAACTGGAGCATCTACGGCACATCGACAACATGTTGCACCATCTGGTGCTGTCAAGAAAGCAAGCCGATTTTGCAATGGATGTTCGCTTCCACCCCCCCCCCTCCCCCCAAAGATCAGGAGGACGGGGGGGAGGAGCAATGCAATATAGCTGACAATGCGCGGCAAAAGTGGTGCAGCATTTCGTCGGCGTACGGTACATTACCAGTGGCGGGCGGTTTTTCAATCCCAGGACTTTTTGAGGGTCGGGGGCGACGTCGGGGTGGTGTGGTGTATACTCTTTCCCCGTTTTCCCGGGGAAACAACGAAGAACGTATGCACCAGGATCCCGTATACATCAGGATCCGCTTTCCTGTGCGAGGTTCAGTGTGAGGCCAGACAAAGGCGTCGGTGTATAGAGTGCGGCTCCTTAGTATTGGTTCCAGCCAGCAGGAGTCGAAGCAGAGGAAGAAGAAGAAGAAGAAGAGGAAGAAGAAGCGCCATCGACATTAACTTTCTTGGCGCTCCGCGCGGGTTTCTTGGATCCGCGCTGGCCCCCCGTAGCTGGCGGCGCCTCCGGCGCCGCCCCTGGCGCGCTCTGCGCGCCAGGGATGGGGACCAGCGCAGATCCAAGAAAATCACGCCGACCGTCGAAAGTTTATGCTTATGCCCTTTTCCTTCTCCGAAGAAAGGGATGTCGGGGGAAGTTTCGAGGTTCCAGGCCTCCCAGATGGGATCGGAGCAGATGGGGTCGGAGGATCGCGCCGCATCGCCGATGCATCGGCGATGCGGCTCGATGCGGAGCCCGTGTTTCCCTACGCCGACGTCGCCGATGCATCGCCGGCGTCGTCGGTGCAGTTGCGGCCTCCAGTGTTCGTTTTCCAGGCCCTGGGGCAGTCGAAAACAGCTCCGGGTGAAAAGCTACAGTAGATGGATCCCGGGACGGGGCCAGGAGACCGATTTTGAGCGGATTTGGCATCGCCCACCCCGCTTCATCGATCTTCTGGGGCCCCATCCAGTTCAGACCCCCGGGCCGCCACCAAGTCGGAGGACTCGGGCGACGCTGATCGGCTACACGTAAGAGTGAACCTTCGTCGGAATCACCTCTGGTGCAGGCCCATTGGGATCCCCCGATCGCCGAACGCGCTGCGATGTTTAGCGTTTTGCGCTCTTGTGTTTGGTCTCCCCGCGGCCCCTCAAAAGCCGCGCACCAAAGGTCACTCTTACCCAGGGTCACTCCTGCGTGCATCCGGGGCCAAGCCCAGCTGGGGCGAGTCCAGTCCATCTGGTGGTTCTCCAGCTGTGCTGAGCCTCCTCTCGGGCGTCGGCGAGTCCAGTTGGAGCAAGACCGGCAGGAGCCATTGTGCTCCACCTGGTGGGCCTCCAGCCAGACGCGGTTCTCTCGCAGGACGACAGTGCGATCGCCGTGCAGAGCACAGTCAACCCGCATCATCAGGATGGACAACCTTCCCAAGGGTACCCTCGCATTCTTGCCTCCTCGGTCCATCCTTCGCCAGCGTCGTTGGCCGCGCCCCGCTCGAAAAGCTTCGAAATGGGCGTCCAAGGCCATTGCATCCGTACCGCGCGTACTTATGATACGGGCCAACTGTAGGTGCCATGTGGGATGATCGTCGCTGCCTTTTGAACCACAAGTTGGCACTGGGGAGGACTCCGAGGTTCCTACGGGCCCGATGCGGCCAAGCAAGTTTGCGACGTCGGAGGAGAGGCTTCTGGTTGGGAGTCGAGGTCTTTGTGCGCTCCTCGTCCGTTTGGGGCCTCCAGGGGGCAGCAGGCCACCACGGCGGGATGCCCTTCGAAATTCTGCCCAGGTCGCATCCATGGGAGGGCACCCCGCTGAGAGCCCCCCTCGCCCTTGCGATGAAAAGCAGGATCGCACTGCGACTTGATCGCCGTGGGGATTACCTGAGGTTTGATGATGTTTTCCCCAGGCCCCAGACTCCGATGCTTGATTTTGAATACGGAGTTCCCAGAAGTCCCCCTTTCTCCCCTTTCCCACGGGCCTGCTTTTTCACCCCGAGTCATCGTTTGACGGTCCCGAAGAGCGGGTTTGGTCCCCCGTCTGACGCCGAATATTGCCCAAAACCGTTGTCCTGTTTCCCAAGGCGTTGGACGCATGGGCTTCTGATTCAAGCTACTTTGTTGCTTGCTCGATCCATAGGAGTTTCTTCGAACTCATTCTCTACAGCTCGCCAGAGCAACACCGACGCTCAAGAACGCGCAACACAGATCGACGCTGCACAGCACCGCGCCGTCGCGGCCTCGGTCCATCTGAGGTGGCCTCGCGAGGGCGCGAAGTCAGGTGATCTACAGTCAAGGCGCTGAACGTACGGGCCACCTCGGCCTCGGCAGGGCCTCTGGTTTTCCGGCCGCTCCTCAAGCCCAGGTCGGAGAACCTGCTCGTGGCCGAGGTACGCCGGTGGCTAGAAAAGCCCCTTCGTACCTGAGATTCGGCGTTCCGGGTGGCAGCACGATGACCAAGCTCAACGCCGCGCCCTCTACAGTCAGAATTCATAGTAAGGACGCACGGATGTCCTCAGGGTACCCGTGCGACCTTCTTTCTGCGGCCCGTCCTTCGCAGTTTTTCACTGGCCAGTTGGCAGTCCGCTGCCCCAAAAGTGCCAACTTCGGCGTCTAAGGCCCTTGCGTCCTTGCCGCCCGTCCTTACTAGAGAGTTTGATTGTACCTGGCAGCGTGGAGCGGCGTTGCGCGGTGCAGGTCTCCAGGCCGTCTCCCAGCAGCTCGTGTGGACCAGACGCCCAGCACCTGACCTCATGAGGGCGAAACACAGATCCGTATGACCGCGGCCTCGCGGGCTGGCCCCCGGGCCGCGCCCCCGCGGTAATACGGGGCGCTTTGTCGCGGACGCCCCGCGCAGAACGCACCCGCGTGACCGCGTATCTCGGCGGCGAGCGAGGGGGGAAATGAGACGAAGAAGGCCTTCTCAGAAGGCGGTCGGACTTCGCAGAAGCCCTCGCGCCTTCTGATAAGTTGTCGTGGTTTTCGGGGGAGGCTTCGAACATTTCTCTCAGAAGGCGGGGGGACTTCCGAGCCTCCGGCACCGCGCCCCGGCCTGCAGACCGCGAGGGCGCGGACACGGATGCGCGCGTCGTGCGTGACGGCCCCCCTTGCGCCGAGGATGCCCCTGCCGCCCGCCGCCCGGCGCCGCGGGCGCCTGCTCGCGGCCGCGCTCGTGGTCGCGCTCGCGGGCGCGCGCGCGCGCCTGCGCGCGCCCCCGCCGCCGCGGGGAGGGAGGGCCGGCGGCGAGCTCCGAACGCCACCCTCGCCGATCGACCATCTCTCGGGAAGGGAAAGTACCCCGCGGCGGGCGAGGGGGGGGGAAGTGCCCTGGCCTGCCAGAATGCTGAGAAATAGCCCTCCAGGCCTGTGGACCCATCTGGACGGCTTGAAGCCTCGGCAGGAATTTGGACGTCAAGGTCCTGGTGCTATTTTTGAGCCCTCCTGGAAGGTTAGGGTGAGAGGGGGCGGGCCTTCTCAGAAGGCTCGGAAGTCCCCCGGCCTTCTGATAAGTTTTCTAAGCCTCCCCCGAAGACCACGAAAACTTCTCAGAATGCGCGTTGGGCTTCTGAGAAGTCCGACCGTCTTCTGAGAAGGCCTTCTTCGTCTCATTTCCCCCCCGCGTTCGCCGCCGGAAGTACACACAGTCACCAAGACACGTCGACTCCGTTGAACACATGGGAATCGATGGGAAGTGGAGGGGAAGGCGAAAGTCCAGAAAATGATGAAAAATAGGTGAGTCCTTGAGTTTGTGCCTATTTGTTTGTGTGTCCCTGGGCTCCGTCAGATTCAGGCAACGCCATGGGTGGCGAGGGGCAAGGCTCGGCATTCGTCGATCACCTGGCGCGATCCGAACCCTACTGACCCCCGCCTCCCCTCGATTCAGGAGAACCGATGGTTTGTGGGGTCTGGGCTCGGATGTCGCCACCTGGAGGGGTGTCGGACCCAGGTCAGGAGGGGAAGAAGCACACACGCACAAGTCATTGCCGATCTCAGGAAAACATGGGAGACTACGGGAAATTGGGGGGGGGAAGACGAAGATCCAGAAGACGTGCGAGAAAAAAGGGGGACTCGTGGGATATGTGTGTATCCACTGGTGTGTCCCTGGGCCCTCTTGCCCAGGAGGGGCCAAGCCCGTCCGCGAGGCGGAGGTCTTCGCCGGCGCCGTCGGAGCTCGACCCTCCCGTGGGTCTCTCCTCGCGGCCCCGGGAGAGCTCTCTGCGGCTGCAGCCGCGCCTCGCCGGGGGCGCCTTCCCCCCGGGGGTGCGCACCGGAGGCTCCCCGACGGCCGCGGGGGCGCACGAGGCAGGGGCCCGAGAGCCAGACCTCCTCCTCCTCCTCCTCCTCCTCCTCCTCCTCCTCCTCCTCCTGCTCCTCCTCCTCCCTCCCTCCTCCTCCTCCCCCTCCTCCTCCTCCTCCTCCTCCTCCTCCTCCTCCTCCTCCTCCTCCTCCTCCTCCTCCTCCTCCTCCTCCTCCTCCTCCCCGTCCTCCCCCTCCAGGCGCGCCGCAGGCACGGGGGGAGTCGACGAAGAGCAGGAGCGACTTTTCCTCGAGGCCTCTCGGAGGGGGTGCGAGCAGATGGGGTCGGAGGATCGCGCCGCATCGCCGATGCAGCGGTGATGCGGCTCGATGTGGAGCCCGTGTTTTCCCCCGCGCCGACGCCGCCGATGCACCGCCGACGGCGCCGATGCATCGGCGATGCGGCGCGATCTGCCGACCCCGTCGACTCCTGTCCCATCTGGGACTCCTCTATCTTCGCCAGCGTGACTCGAGGGGCAGGGCAAGCCCGGGCACGGAGGCCGCTGCTGTCGCACAGCAGGCAGCGAGCGGCAGGCAGCGTACCACGGGCCACTCTTGCTCAGGGTGGCTCTCCCGTATGGCCGAGAGAGGCGGGACGGCATGGCGTTGAGCCATCAACTGTGCTCTGAGGGGGCCCAGGCATCCTTCAGCGCAACTCGAAGAAGATGACACGCCACAGACATAAACTGTTGGCGCTCCGCGCGGATTTCTTGGATCCGCGCTGGGCCCTCCCTGGCGGCGCCTCCGGCGCCGCCCCTGGTGCGCTCCGCGCGCCAGGGAAGGGGGATCTAGCGTTAAGTCGGGCACGTCCCTCTACAGGAGGAATATTCAAAAATAGTCAGAAATAGTATGGGGGCGATTTTTCAAATATGTTTGACTGTCTTTGCATATGTTTTGATCATTTGTATTTCCAAAACTCGCCTGTGGGAGGACATGCCCGACCTAAGTCTAGCGCAGATCCAAGAAACCTTGGCGGATCGCCAGCAGTTTATGGTTATGCCGTTTTTGTTTCTCCTACGTATGGCCGAGAGGCGCGGCAGGACATGGCATTGAACCATCAACGATGCTCTGAGGGGGGTTCAAGCATCCTTCAGCGCTACGGCTTGGTTTTCCATAATTGCCTTGTTGAAGGCGTTTTGGGTTGTGGCTTTGCCATGGAGAAAACCTGCCTCGTTGCTTCCTCCAAGCATGTGGGGGAACAGGTGTCTTCACGTCTGGCCGATCTTTGCCCATCGCACTCTTCCACGGCCGTCAACTTAGGCGTCGACTACACTGCCGGTCGCGCGCTCAGAGTTGGAGGCCGTTCGGCCAAGCTCAAAGCTAGGATCGCAGCTGCCGGCAGGAAGGCCACCCGCCTCAAGAAGCAAAATAAGGCGTTGAAGCGGAGCGCCATCATCAAGGTTTTTTCGTCGGGCCCGTTAGCGGGAGCGAGCTATGGGAGTGAAGTTACGGGGACTTCTGACCATGATCTCCTCCTCCTCCGTCGTCGGCTCTTCTCCACGGTCCGTCCCTCCTCCCGTCTCCGCTCTCTCACCACTTCTGCGATCTTGGACACTGACCCCTGTTGGCGCACTGCCTGTAGCCCCATTGTTCGTTGGTCTAAGGAAGTGTGGCTTGCTCAGACGGCCGCTTTCAGATGGTCTCTGGATCTTCCTTCTTTGCGCAGGGCTTGGAACAGTGTCTTTCAGCATGATTCGTGTTCGTGGCGCTCTGTTGCTGGGCCCATCAGCGCGCTCAGGATGTCTCTCTCCCGCCTTGGCTGGGTTATGTTAGATTTTATGACGATTCGCGACGATCGGGGCCACAGTCCGCCGTTGGGTATCCTCTCTCCTGCTCTCGTCAAGCTCCTTTGCCGGGAGGCTTACTTGCGTATGCTGGAGCGTGACTCGGCTGCTAAACGTGGCGTCAAGAATCGCATTTGTTATGACATAATAAAAGAACCCCTTGCCATCAAAACATTCTCGGCTTTGGACAAAGCCAGGATCAGAGCTTTCGCCACGGAGGCCTTCTTCACTCGAGAGCGTGCGCGCCAACTTGGCTATCAGATTACTGTGGAGTGTCCTCTCTGCGGGCGTCCTGACACCGTCTTTCATCGTCTATGGACTTGCCCCCACAGTTCTGTTGCCACCATTCGTGCATCGACTGTTGATGAGGAGGTTCTCGTGTGGGCCCTTCAGGCCGAAGAGCAGGGAGATGACCTCTTCCCGTATGTCTCGGGAGCTTTCGCTCACCCCTCGGATGCCTACCCCAAGCCTTGTAAGGAAGATGAAGGTCCAATCATTAAGTGGCACGTGAAGGATCTTGTCTCCCCCTCAGGTGGTGCTCCGGGCAGGGTTTTTTGGGGCAGCCTGTTTATAGACGGCTCCTGCTGCCGCCATCCCATCCGTGAATTGTCTCGAGCCGCGTCCTGTGTGGCTATGGTTGATCACTCTGGTTCGTGTTTGGCTGAATTCAGAGCTCCTGTCTGGGCAGTTTATCCCCAAACTCCCCAGTCTGCCGAGTTCTCTGCTTACACGTGGGCCCATTTGCTTGCCTCCGAAGGTGAGGCCAAGGCCTGGTCTGACTGTAGCAACGTAGTCAAGATGGCAGGCCTACCAAGAGATGAACAGCTCTCGGGTAAAAGGGTCTATGCTGGTGCTCTGCTGCAGTGCTACTCCTCTGCGTCCTCCGTCCTTGTCTGCGAGAAAGTCGCGGCTCACAAGGACGTAGACGAGCCTGGCATCGATAGTGGGGAACGGTGGAGGCGGCTTGGGAATCTGCATGCCGATGCGGGCGCAAAGCACGCGGTCCGTCTGCACCCCAGGGACGATGATGCCCTGGAGGTGATCGATCGCTCCGTTCGCATTGCTCGTTCTGTGATTCGTTTAGCGTCGAGCCTCCTTCACCTTTGGGAGCCCCTCGACCTCTCAGAAGTTGAGCTTTTAAAGTCTCCCCCTGCCTCTCCTGGCCGTTGCCATCAATGGAGGCGCTGGGCTGGAGCCTGGCGCTGTGAAGTGTGTCTTCGCGGAACGAGAGCTGCCGCCTCTCTGCCGGCTCCCGGGATTTGCCCCGGTTCGAGCAAGGTAGATTCGGTTCGCTTGGACTCCGTGGGCCACAAAACCATTGCGTTTGATTGCTCAGACTCCAGTGTCTTATTCATTTGCATAAAGTGCTACTGCCACTCGTCTGGAATGAGTGTTCGTGGCCTGGGAGATGTGTGCAGCTCCGACGAAAGCTACTCGCACTGGATGGAATACTTTGTGCAGCAAGGGCCTTCATCCCCAGTGGAATCGCCGCGGAGTTAAAGTACATACAGGCAACGTGTTGCAGGTATTTAATTGCTAGGTTTGTTTGTTTAAAGCAGGCTGCTGTCCCCCACCGCCACTGGTCTGCTCACTATTCTGGTGGAGAGGAGCTGTTGAGCTCACATTTTTTTCCATAATTGCCTTCTCCGGGGGGCCCGTGCCGGGGATTCGGGACCATCGAGCAGCGACTCGTGACGAAGGGCCCGGGAAGGGGCCGTGGCTTCTGGGGCCCGTGCCGCGAGTAAGCCGTCATGCCCTTCTTGTTCTTGGGAGGAGTGGAGGAAGATCGAGGATGATCGAGCGGGGGAAGGGTGTACCGCGTTTCAGTTCTGTTCGGGGGCTTCTTGGGCGGCCCTCGTCGCCACGTCTGGCATCGCCTCGGGGTCCTAGTCGGAGCACGGCCCGGGGGAGGTTCGGGGTTCGACTTCAAGGGGAGGCGCTGAGTCAACCGCTCCATCGCTTTCAGACTCCAGTTTTGGGCCGAAGCGTCTGCGCCTTGCGCATTTGTCGTTGATCCTCGATTTCCAATTCGTTTTCGATACGAAGGGCGTCGCCTACAACGCCGCTTGCGCACATACGCGTAATTGGGAGTGGGGTGCTGCGAACAATGCCCGATTCTCTCAACCATCGGGCCTCTTACCTCAGCAGCGTCGGCGACACATCGTACACACCCATCCTCTTCCGTAGCCGTTTGGGCTCAAGCGTTTGCGCTTTGTGCATTCGGCGTTGGTCCTAGACTTCGAGGGGAGGGGCCGCTGCAGAGTCCGATGACAGCGTCAGGGGTCGGCCACACTCGACCCTGAAGCACAGGGCAGTGCACTACGTTCTCCTCGGTCTGCTGGCTCTGGATGTGCTGTCCGTGATCGTTGGCGGCTTTCTCGAGCTCGCGTACGTTGAGAGCAGGTTCGGACACAGCGAGAGGATCACCACCGCGCGCGTCGAGGCAAGCACCAACCGGCGGCTTGGCATGTCTGCTGTTTCCTGCGCCGTGCCAGGCCACTACGGGAACGCGGCTGTACACCACGCTGAGCTTGTGCTTGTCAAGATTTCAATCGTCATACTGAGCATCTTTTTACTCGAGCACGCGCTGCACGCGTTTGTATCGGATTCGCCGCTGGAGCATTTTCAGATTGGAGAGATGCGTTCGACATCTTTATGTTTTTGGTATCCATTGGCCTGGAGATCGTGGCTCTCACCAGTGGTAAGATCTCGCCCAGTGCAGGCGCCATTGCCTTCGCTCGATTGTGGAGGTATGCCCGCATTGCCACATTGTCCACGGGGTCGCCGAGGTCGCCGAGGATGAGGCAGAGGAGGAGAAACAATATATCACTTCGGACGCACAAATTGTGGGTAAGCGCAGTGAAACTGAATAGTTGCAAGCATGAACTTCAGGACCTGACAGAGGGGGGGATAAAGAAGAGCTTGAAAACGCGTGCCTGAACCGGTGCTTTGTATGGCCAGTCGATGTGTTCCGTTCAAGAAAAAGTTCCACCCATTTCCAGTTCGTCCTCTCTATTCATGCTTCCTCACCGCCTCCTCTTTCTTGTTCTTTGTCGCCCGAGAATTTCAGCGTCAACAGTTGTCGTCAATTCAGCGTCCGGCGGTGACCTATCCCGAAGTCACCGTCCTTCCAGATCCCCAAAGGCGTGCGTGTTCTACGTAGTCGCATCTAATTGTCCGGCGGACCCACAGATCAGAAAAGTGATCTACCTCATTGTGGGCAACGGCGGAAGTAAGTACAGTACAGTATGTCGTCATTGATGGTCCGAAGATGCACCAGCAGATCGATGTCCTCTGTCCTTTCGCCTAGGGAGCTCCACGTCGGAAACTTGTTCGTGGCCGAGCCTCGCCGTGGCCATGGTAGCGAATTTCTTCCTTACTCAGCAGCCTCTACGGCAGCACGACGCCTGCCAGCACATAATGAAAGTATGCAGGGTTCAAGGCAGCACCAACAGAAACATCCTCACCGTGTTTTTGGTCGAGAGGTACTGCATGTTCGCAGCGTCTGTCAGTAGCCATCTGGTGGAATTTGCACTCCTCAGAAAGGGGCCCTTCATTTTTGACGAACGCCTCGGAGCAGCTGTAACGCATGCGTCTTCTATGATTGCGCAGTGGCTCCTTCCATCGGGGCAAAAGGTTTCTTCTCTTCCCACTCCTCGTCTGCATCCTTCGACTACACGTGAGAGTGACCCCTTGCCGGAGGGACCTTTGGTGCCGGTCTAATTTGGGTCCCGTCCCCCGACCGCCGAACGCGATGGGACAGCAGCGTCTTGCGCGCTTGTGTCTGCTCCCCCCTCGGCCCCGCGCACCACAGGTCACTCTTACCCAGGGTCAACTTTGCGCGCAGCCGAGCTAAGCCCAGCTGGGGCGAGTCCAGTCCATCTGGTGGGCCTCCAGCTGTACTGAGCCTCCTCTCGGGCGATGGCGAGTCCAGTTGGAGCGAGACCAGCTGGAGCCGTGGTGCTCCACCCGGTGGGCCTCCGGCCGGACGCGGCCTCGCCCGCAGGACGTTAGTGCGGTCGCCGTGCAGAGCACGGTCGACCCGCGCGTGGCCGACGCCCCCTCTTCCTCGGCCTCGCCGTCCGCCCTCGTCCTGCTCTCCCCCCCCGCGCGCGCGAGGCAGCGCGAGCGGCGCGGGGCCGGCGGCGCAGGAGGCGCGGGGGGAGGGGCGGGGCGGCGAGGGAGCGCCGGCTCTCGGTGTGCTCCTCGGGCTCCTTCGCGCCATGGCCCCGCAGCGCTGCTCGCCTCGTGGAGGGCCCGTGTCCGTCGCGCCTCCTCTCCGACCGCGGGGAGAGACCCTGAACCGCACAGCCCTCCTCGAGATCAAACGCAGGTGTTCTCGATGCTGGTCGACGCGCGAGACGCGGCCCACAGGGTCAGATTGGCGTGTTTGCAGTGGCCAATGTCGGCGCGAGCATTGGAAATTATGGAGCCATGGGGCGCCGCCACGTCGCGGGAAAACTTGCGTGTGCCTTCGAGGAGGGATGTATCCCCTCTAGATGGGGATGGCTTGCTGACTCGTCGGGTTTCGCGGCGCTCGCCTCCACCCGCTGGGCCGGGACAGAGTGTCCCCCTTTTGGCCGAACGGCCCATTACCGACCTCCCGAGATGGGGACAGCTCCCCCTCTCCGTCGGTCTCCGCGGCACCCGTCGCCCCACCCCTGGTGGCGCCATAAGGAGCCCCTGGCCCGCTGGGGATGGGGACAGCTCCGACGGCGCCGACGAAGCTCACGGGCGCATGATGCATCTGGGGAAACCGAGAGGTATCGATACTGCTATTCCCCGGTGGAGGGTTTCTCCGAAGGGCGTAGGCGACCCGTTCTCCTCCTCCTCCTCCTCTTCCTCCTCCTCCTCCTCCTCCTCCTCCTCCTCCTTCTACTCATCCTTCTCCTCCTCTTCCTCCTTCTCCTCCTCATCCATCTCCTCCTCCCTCTCCCCCTCCTCCCCCTCCTCCTCCTCCTCCTCCTCCTCCTCCTCCTCCTCCTCCTCCTCCTCCTCCTCCTCCTCGGGTCGCCTACGGCCCCGTGGGACACCGTGCACTACTCGGACCTCTCCCAGGGCGCGTTCTGACCAGGAGTTCGAGGCAAATCAAGCGGTGGCGACGAGGGCCTCCCAGGGGAGGTCCAAGAAGCGGAGAACACGGGAAGGGAAGCGAGGTATGGGTATTTTTTCCTCCTCTCTGGGGATCGAGGGTCGAGAGCCGAGGATCGAGGCTCGAGGCTCTCGCAGGCCTTCGGTCCTCGCCTGGGCATCCCGTTTGGCCCCTCCGGAGGCCCTCGCGGGCCGTCGGAGGAGGCCTCGGAGGCTTCCTCTGAACGTGGCATCGCTCGGACGCGTGCAGTTTTTTTCCGTCAAGGACCATCGAGGAGCGTCCTGGATCATCGAGCAACGGAAAAGATCACGCACGAGACCGAACACATGTCTGGGAAGGGACGTCCGAGCGATGGCGAGAGAAGGCCCGCTTCGAGGTGCCAGCCGGCTTCTGCCGATTCCTTGTTCGGGTCGAGCCGATTCGACTGATCGATTCAATGTTGGGGCAGCTTGGCCTCCGGATCATCGAGCACAAAAGAGCACCTAACCCTAATAACACGATGATGGCGTGGCCTCACTGAGGTTCCCGTCTTCGCATTAGGGATAATAGCCCTGGGGGGGTGGTCTTGCACATCTGCCGAAAAGACCTCCGATCCCGAATGTGTTTGGCCCTCCTAACTTACGTCCCCTCCCAACGGGCTAGGAGTTCTTTTGGGTTGATCATCAGGAGTCTTCCTAGAGACCGCGGCGGGGACCTCCAGGGGCCCCCGCGCGACGGCTTCAGGTCCAGGCGCCCGCGGAGCCGCGCCGCGGAGCGGCGCCATCCCCCAGGGCCGGGGCTTCAGGTCCAGGCGCCCGCGGAGCCGCGCCGCGGAGCGGCGCCATCCCCCAGGGCCGGTCCGATGCGGCCGCTCCGTGGCTCGGTGTTTCGGGCCCGCCGGGCCGGGTCCGATCTGATCGCGGCCTGCCCAGACCTCCTCGCGCCGTGGGCGACAGTCACGACAGAAGGCATTTCGCCATTCTCGGGCGCTCGGGAGAGTCGCCGGGCCTCGGGACCGTCAAAAAGCGACTCCGGACGAAAAACCGGTCCCGGGAAATAGGTCGAAACCTTTGGGGGTCGACGTCATGAAGGGATCATGGCGTCGACTGGGTTCAGCGATCCGGTGCGGCCCGACGCCTGCAGGGCGCGGCTGAGGAGCCTGGCGCTGCCGGCCTTGTCCGGTGTCGCCTCCGCCCCTGTGCAGCCCTGTCCGGTTCGCATTCCGGTGCGACGTGATTTCCGCATTCGGTGCCGGTTGTTGCCGCCCTCTCGGAGCGCGAAGCGCAGGCAGCGGAGGAGAGGGTCCTGTCGGGCACGCTGCTGCGCAGCGCGATGGCGGAGGAGCAGGGCGTGCCCCAGGCGCTGCGGAAGGCGCAGGCGAACACAGAGATGGAGTGGGACCGCAGAGGGGCCACTGCAACTCCTGGGGGTCTTTTCCCGCGGCGACGTGGGGATGTTTTTTTTTGTCCGGTGGACCTGTAACGTCCGTTAGGGGGGGTCGCCCCTCCCTGCCCCTCCTCCCCGTAACAGCACCGAACGTACGCGTAGGGGGTGCTAGTTTCACACAGGCATGGCGCGGTGCTCACAGGCATGCCGTGGTGCTGGCAGGCATGATCTGGTGCTCACAGGCATGCTATGGCGCTCTCAGGGCCCCCCCCTCCTCCCCCCCCGTAAGAGACGTTGCGGTGATGAGAAAACAATATTATGGCGAGCGACTTGCGGACTCCTGCTTGCCTTGGCGACCGGGCTTTAAAAACCGTGCAAACGCACAAGGTGGCCAGCTTGGATTCGTGTGAGTGCTACCACCGACTTGGAGCCGTCTCTGGTAACGATTGCGAGCTACCTAGTGGCTTTCTGCAGGCCACCATGCCCGAGTTGTGTGCGAGAGGCCTCGTGGATGCTTGTTGGGGTCTCGTGGGGGGCCTCTCGGGGGGCCTCTTGGATGGCTCTTGATGGGGCTCTTCGGCCCTCTTGGTGGCCTCTACGGGCTGGTTTGGCAAGGGTGTCCTCGGTTCGGTCGATTTGGTCAGCTGCTGCGGCGTTGCTTCGTCGCTGTGCCCTGTCAGGCTGCTTGCGGTCTGTCGGTTTCGGTTTCGCTGTCTGTTCGGTAGGTGTCCGTTTGTGCGCTCTCCGTGGACACGAGGGCGGCCTTGGTTAGGACACAATTCTTGGGAGATCCTCATGGGAACACTGCACCACGTGAGGGCAAGCTGAGCCGTGCAGGCAGACCCGAGGCAATCTCGAGGCAAGCCGAAGTGAAGTTCAAGGAACGCCAGCTAGATACTTATGTACCGAAAGGCCTTCGGCCCATCCCGCCACCGTGCCTGGGTTGTGGGTATGAATGGATGAGCGTTGGGATCTCGTGGGGGGCCTCTCGGGGACCTCTTGGAGGCAGTGTGGCGGCCTCTTGGGGGCTGTGTTGGGTCCTCTTTTGGATCTCTTGGGGGTCCCTTGGTGCCTCTGGGGGCCTCTTGGGGGCCTCTTGCGGCCTCCTGAGCGCCTCCTGGCGCCTCCTGGGGACTCTTGGGGCGGAAGGCTCCGATTGTCGGTTCGTGATCCTTCTCTTGGGCTCCTTTTGGGACTGTCTTGGGGTCCTCTTGGAACGTCTTAGGCGCCTCTTGGACCGTTTTGGGGCGCTCGTAGGCCGTCTTGGGGCCCTCGTGGAGGCCTCGTTGGCCCTTTTGGGGTGGTCTGGGGGGCCTCTTGAACCTTCTAGGAGCGTCGGAAAGCCGAAAAGGCGAGAAAGTCAACATCCTCCAAAAACCAATGGAAAATCAATGAGTTGTGCCTCTTGGGGCCCTCTTGGGAGGCCCTTTGGGGCGTCTTGGAGGCCTTTGGGCCATCTTGATGCCGCCTTGGGCGTCTTGGAACGATCTTTCAGCGTCTTTGGGGCCTTCTTGGACCGTCTCGGGGGCCTCTTTGGGCCGACTTTGGGCTCTCCTGGCCCTTCTTGGGGCTTCCTGGGCCCTGCAGAATGCATGCGACGACACTTCCCGGGGCCCCGGGGGGGCGCGCGGGGAGCCCCAGGGGGCCAAGCCCCGCCAAATTCTGGCATGTGGGGGGCCAGGCCCCTTAGAGACTCTCAGGAGTGCAGATTGAGGCTGAAACGATTCGGCAGAGGATCTGAGGAAACGCCCACTCCGTGCCCAGAGGCACGGTGGCGGACATATATATATATATATATATATATACATACATACATATACACACCACATGCACATACATATACACATGTGGAAACAGCAACGTGATATAAGATAAACGGCAAGTTTAAAGCAAGTTAACATTGATCTGCGTTGTAAGCAACCACATGGTGAGTCACCAGATGCGCGAAATGCGATCACGATGCAACGAGCGGGAATTGCAAACCCAGCGCAATCGACACAAGTTCGAGGCACGCGAATGGCAAGTTCTCATTCTCGGTCATCTCATGATCATTGGGGTACGTGTGAGGGAGGCCTGGTCATCAGTGCCATCGGGCCCAAATGCAAACGGTCAGCTGGACACGCTTCAGGCAAAACTACGTCACTCGACAAGCGCAGCTCCCCATCACGCGCTGGCGAAGTTGGATGGGTGTCTGCAGGATGCGTGCCCGAGCGGGGGGTCGGGGCGCCGGAGTAGCGGAATGTGCAGCCAGGCGCTGGAGACGGGCTTCGAATAGGGGATCGACGACAGAATTGATTTACCCCAAACTTGATTTGCACGCCGAGTCTTCAGCAAAAATACGCAGAATGTTCGAGGATCTGCGCAGGTCCTACAAACTTGTCCGTGGGCTCGACGAGAAAAACTCCAGTTCTGGGGCAAGTCAATCCTGCAGTCGAGCCCCTGCTCGAGGGCTCGAAGCTCGAAGCTCGAACTCGAGGGCTCGAGGCTCGAAGCACAGGACCACCTGGACATCCAGGTCGACAACCTCGACACGTCCGGCCTGAGCGAG